CAGGTACAGAGAGAGCCCTGTGCCTGATTGAGATTAAGAAGGTGAAACAATCCCTGTCCCAGTCCCACCTGCCTGCCCAGCCTGATCTCTCTCCATACATCATCGAGACGGTCAAGGGTTGCCACCTCTTTGCTGCTGGCAAGGTAATTTTGCACTCTTAACACCCACCTTATTGCAGCCAGGAGAGAGTGTCCCCTAAAAGCATTTCCTTCTGCATGCAGGCGCTGCACTTTGTTTTTGAGAATATCTCCTATATCTGTTAACTCAAGTTTAATAATAAAGGTGCATTTTTCATTTTTATTTTTCTGTTTCTGATACAAAAGCCAGTATGTCAGGTTTTGAGCATCCCAGAATGGTTACTCGTCGAGAAGTGCTGATTACAGACTGTCTGTTCCCACAGATTGACAACGGACCCTGTATCTGTGCTGCCATGCCCAATAAAATCACCATCCTGCGCTACAATGAGAGCCTCAACAAGTTCTGCATCAGGAAGGTGAGTCGGGATCCTCCTGCATGGCCAGTGAGAATCAGCCAGGTAACAAGTCACAGTGCACACAGGCTGCCTGGCCAGGTCTCTCTAAACACTGCACATGTGCTTGAGTTGGCATCCAGTTAGGAGGAGCTATAAAAGATCCTGCTGGATCTGCCTGCTGAGCCCCGGTGTTGCCCGTCCCTGCCCTGTGTCCTGTGCCAGCCTGCCTGGCTTCTCCCTGGGCAGTGAGAGAGAGAGAGAGGTGTCGTCACGCTGTTCAGGACTGTGTGATGTCTCCCAGTCCTCTCCACTCTGACCATCAGAATCATTGGGAAAGCAGAGCGCTTGTCCAGACCAGCCAAGCTGTGGAGCTCTTGTGCTTTCAATTAAAGCGCATCTTTCAAAACGGAACCCGAGATCTGGGAAATTAAAATTAATCAAGGCATCCAAGATGATGATGATTGTTAATCATAATCATAATAATGGGTGTAGTAATACATACAATAGTAATATTAACAGTCGGGACTCCCCTCCACCAGCACCAGTGTGCAGCCCCACCTGGATGATGCCCCAGTCCGCTCCCCACACACCAGCTCTCAGTGGGGAGGAGAGCAGAGTGATGGAGCCAGTTCAGAGAGGGGGGTTATTAGGAGGCCATGACTGGTAAAGGCTGGGAGGGGAAATCTGGCCAGGACACCGGGGTAACACCCCGGCTCCGGAGTGGGCTGGGGTGCACCTGGCGGTCCAGCGCCTCCTCTCAGGAGGGATAAGGAGAGCCCAGTGTGGATTCGAACCCCTAACAGCAGCGCTGCTCCCCCTTCCCCCCGACAGGAGATCGAGACTTCGGAGCCCTGCAGCTGCATCCACTTCACCAGATACAGCATCATCATCGGCACCAACAAGTTCTACGAGATCGAGATGAAGCAGTTCGTGCTGGAAGGTGAGGAGGGAGGCAGGACACGGGCCTGACCTCTAGCTGTGGCTGTGGCGAGGTGTCCTGGTAGGAGCAGACAGATGCGATGCCCGTTTCTGGGACGTCCCAAGGATATGACGGCCAGCTCCGCCCTCCCCCGGCTTTAATTCCGTCTCTCCCTCTTTCTCTGCGGCGTCAGAGTTCCTGGACAAGAACGACGTGTCCCTGGCCTCCGCCATCTTCGCCGCCTCCTCACACAGCTTCCCCATCGCCATCATGCAGGTCAACAACACAGCGCAGAAGGAGGAATATCTCCTCTGTTTCCACGGTAACCGCCTCCTCGCACTCCTCTCTCTGCGTGTTGCTCTCCAAGCTGGTAAACTCGTCACCGTCTTCTTATTCCACACGTGTTCATCGATAGCCGCTGTAGCAGTAGTGTGCCGCAGGACAGTGTTTATTAACAGTCATTTGGCATCCCTGGCGCAGAGTTTGGCGTGTTTGTGGATTCCTACGGCAGGAGGAGCCGCACTGATGACATCAAGTGGAGCCGCCTGCCCCTGGCCTTCGGTGGGTCTCCTGTTGGCATGTCCTGCCCTCTCTGTCCCCTGTGTCCCGTCTCTTTCAGTGTGTGTCCCCTGTGTCTCATCTCCTCAGTTTGTGTCTCCCCCGTGTCCCGTCTCTTCAGCGTGTGTCCCCTGTGTCTCGTCTCTTTATTGTGTCTCTTCAGTGTGTATCCCCTGTGTCCTGTGTCTTCAGTGTGTGTCCCGTGTCCCGTCTCTTCAGTGTGTGTGTCCCCTGTGTCCTGTGTCTTCAGTGTCCCCTGTAGGTGCAAATCCAGAAGCACTGATCAGCTCGCTGAGCCGTGTACCGTGTGTAACAGATCTGTCTTCTCTGCCTCAGCCTACAGGGAGCCCTACCTGTTTGTGACCCACTTCAACTCCCTGGAGGTGATAGAGATCCAGAGTCACCAAGCTCTGAGGTGAGGCAGTCTGTCCGCGTGCCGCTCAGCGTGAGAGGAGACGTGCGCCTGCGTGTGTGAGGTGTGCATGAAACCCGTTCAGACACAGGCCAGTGGAAGGAGCTGAGCTGTGTTACATTCTCCATTTCATCTCTCGAGGCATCTCTTATTGTACTGGCTCGATTCTACTGTGGCAACAAGACTGATAATACTCCCGGGTCTCGTCCTGAAGAGACCAAATCCAGCAGGTTTCATAGGCATCATCTTCTAAAGGCCTGAAACAATCAATCAAACAGGTGGCCTGTTCAGTTTCTATAGCTTATCCATCCACCCACTTTTTGAACCACTTAATCCAGTTCAGGACCTTGGGGGAGCAGGAGTCTATCCCAGCAAGCACTGGGTGCGAGGCAGGGTACACCCTTGAATGGATGCCAGTCCATCAAGGGGGAGATGAGCACATAGACACACACAC